TTCCTTCTTTTCATGCTGATGCCATTTCACTTTATGTGGATAACTTAAGCTCAGCTTTCTCTGATGCCATTAATATAGTCGTACGTATAGCAAAGTACCACATTCACTGTAGTAAGAGGAGAGATAATAAGCCCTCCTTCCTGTTTGATGAACGATTTTAAGTCACACTATTCTTCATTAAGTAGATTTAGGAATCTGCAAAACTGCTAAAATCATTTCACAACAGATACAAACTTATTGTTTTAATTAAAACAAGAAGTTTCTCAAGAAAACAAAACTGATGAGCTTGTCAGCAGGTAAGGGGCGTTTACCTTCGGGACAAATTGAGGTGGTTCATTGGTCAGTTACTGACACGCCTTCTGAGTTGATTGACAGGTTGCACCATCGAGGATCCGATTGGAAAAAAAAAAACAGGAAAAAAAAAAACCCGAGAGCGGCAGCAGCCGCGCTGAGAGGAAGCGGGGCTGTCCAAATGCAGTGGAAGCGGAGCAGTCTGTGCAGCGCAGAGCTCCAAGTCAAGCAGGAGATAACCAGATATTTTGCTTGTGTCCTCACTGCCCTGGGCCCCTTAGAGATCATGGGCCCCTGGGCAGTTGCCCAGTTGCCCATATGGTTAATCCAGCCTTGGCCCTGTCACCTCTGAGCTTAAGGTTGTTTCGTTTTCACACCTGATAGTCCGGTAGACTCTGTTCGATTGGGGACCAAAATTTGGAAAATTGTTTACATTTTCAGCTGGTGCGGTTCACAGTCACACTGCACTGAGTCAGTCGAGACAACCTGTTCCACCCCTCGCCTGTGGTGGCGCTGCACCAAGAACTACTGAAGGAAATGACACGAAAACTTCTGAAGATGACACTTCTTCTTCTTCTGGAAATTCAATTAAATTCAATTCAACCTTTATTCAGACAGATATATCACATTGAGCCTCGAAGACTCATTTACAAGTGAGACCTGATTAGACAGACAAAAAAGTAGTGAAAGTGGGCCATCCTTTTGGCCAGTGGCTGTTTAGTTTCCCCAATGTGCAACAGAAGAGAAGAGCAACATCATCAGGCCAGGATTCTGCAGTCTACACTCATCTCCAGGCCAGCGGTCACTCTTTCAGGGATGAAGATGTTCACATCCTTGATACAGAGGAACGATGGTTTGAGAGAGGAGTAAAGGAGGCCATCTTTGTGAAAAGAAACCGTCCATCATTAAACAGGGGTGGAGGCCTCCATGTTCAACTGTCCCCCTCCTTACAATGCTGTGATTGCTAGTATCACTCAACCCCCTGTGAATAGTAAACAGCTGTCAGGACACTGCAACCAATTGTTGGGGCGCTAACGTTAGGCTGATAGGCAGTAGTACACGGGCAGGAGCCCAGATGGAGGAGGCACATGGAGGTCACATGTGGAGTCAGACAACAACGAGCAGGGACAGTGTCGGGCTCGCAACTGTTAAGTAAGGTGGTGTTGGTGGTGGGGGGGGGGGGGGGGGGGGGTGCTTGACAGAAGCGGAATGTCTATTCAAAATTTTCTGGGGGAAGACCTCCAGGACCTTGCATCCCCTCCCCCCTCGCTATTTGCTTTCCGTTCTGGCATTGATCAGTTTACAAATTATGCCGTGGTTTCAGCAAAGAAGAATCCGTCCAGAGGACCTGATTTAACCTTGTTAGATTTTTCTACCATTACTGAGCATGCATCATTAGACTTTAATAATAGTTTTAATTTGAGGAAAATGGGCAGCACTGTGGCACAACTGGCAGAGCTGCTGCCTCTCAGCGAGCAGGTTACCCTGGTTCAAATCCCGGTCCGGGGGCCTTTCTGGGTGGAGTTTGCATGTTCTCTCCGTGCATGCGGTCTCTTCAGACCTGTCCAGGGTGTACCCCGCCCCTCGCACAGTGATTGCTGGACATGGGCACCGGTGACCCCTGTGACCCAAAAAGGAAGAAGTGGGTAAAGATGATGGATGGAGGGATTTGTGGCAAATATCACATTTGTGTATAAACTTATTTCATCACACTACCTCAATTCCACATCATTATGTAAAAAAAAAAAACCTTTATGTTTTAGATAAAATCAAAGTCTTTAGTTTTCTTTTTGTTTTGTTTTTTTAATCTCAGGCTGCACGACAGTACTGCCCTCATCATGTGGGCCATTACCTGGGCATGGACGTCCATGACACTCCTGAATTATCCCGCTCACAGCCTCTCCGACCAGGAATGGTCATCACAATAGAACCAGGTATTTATAAATATCTCATTGACTTAACTTCGCTTCACAGTTATCAGTGAAGCAAATGCAGTCTCATCCGTTTTCTTCTTTTTCCCCTCCGCCAGGGATGTACATCAGTGAAGACAACAACCAGGCTCCAGAGCATTTCCGTGGCCTCGGTGTCAGGATCGAGGATGACGTTGTGATCCAAGACGAGGGAGGACCTCTGATTCTGTCCTCTGGTGCACCAAAGACCATCGCTGATGTCGAGAAGGCCTGTGCCATGAGATAGGACACCGAGGGAAAGAATTAGGTCAACTTATTGATGGCGGCTGTACATTTCCGTCTCCATGATGATAATTTAAAGCTCAGGAACAGGAGTTGAGAGCCTACTTTTAGGCTTCAGTTTTAGTTGAACCCAAGCTGCAAACATCTAAGAATATGACGTTAAAAATCACTTTGCAGACAAGTGTATTATCCTCACTACACTGGTCACCATACACTGAATGCAAAAGAAAGAGGAACAATCTTTGCACACATGTGCCTTCTGTCATGTTTCAGGAGACTTTATGCACAGAACAGGATATTGAGCTGAGCGTTAAAGGATTTTGTTCTTTATTTAACAACAAATCAGAGCTACAACGATGCAGCGACCCTTGTTAGACACCAAGTTGAAACTCAAAATTAGAAAAAGTTTTAGTTTCCAGCTAAAGGTTCAGCTTGTTCTTTTTTTAGGTGTTTAAACAAAAAAACAAAAATGTTGATTTCTTCCTCATCTTATTCTGCACCACACAAGATCAAAACACCAAATGCAGAACTTTAACTCGCTGCACTTTAATACGAGCTGGGAGAATGAGTACAGAGTATGTTTATGCAGTATTAAATGAAGAGTGACGTGTCCTGAAGGGCTGCTCCTGATTTAAAAATTAGAAAAGTGTTTTTTCAACTTCTGAAAGGTGAAACTTGCACTGATACAAATGTGACTCAGTTATGGTGTTTGTGTGTTTTGGGTTCTTTTAAAGAAAACTGTGTTTATATGTATAAAAAAAATTCAAATAACTGAAGTAAATCGTCAGGTTTGTCTTAGTTTAGAAATTAAGAAGTGAACGCAGCTACAACAAAAGGACAAAGATGGTTCATTACAAGGTCCTTAAGTCACATTTTAAACTTTTTGGATGCTAAATTGGTAAAAAACATTTTATCTGACTATATTAAAAAGATAGTTCAGTTCTTTTAAAGTAACGTTTTGTGGAGAGATTATGAGCAACCAATATCCTACCTGTTGCAGTTACATTTCAGATTAAAAAAAATATTCACCCCCTTACAAATTTTATACTTTTATTGCTGTCATAAATCAATTTTGGTCAAAATAAATTTGTCTTTCTTGTCTAAAAAGACTATTTGAAGTCCAAGTGAAATCAATTTTATACAGAGTACAGTAGTCCCTCACTACTTCGCTGTTTGTTTATCGCGGAGTCGCTCTATCGTGGTTTTTCAAAATTAGATTGGACATGACACACAATCAATTGGCTGATTGATGGATGAGCCGCACGATTGGCATGGAATTTTTATTTAAAATAAATTATTTTAAATTATTTAGCACCTGCTGCACATTCGCGGATCTTCAGGGTATGGATCCCCCGCGATAAACGAGGGACTACTGTACTACTAATTCAATAAAAATATGTCATAAACTAAGTGATTGCATAAATCTTCTTAAAGTGACTAAATGCTAATTTAACCTGAGAACAGATTATTGCTAAAAATACAAGTTAGGGGATGGATACTAAAGGATTTCCAAGGCCCTAAACATCCCCAAGTGTTCTGGTAAATCCATGAATGAATGGAAGGAATATGGGACGCGCAAATTACCAAGAGCAGGCTGATCTAACAAACCGAGTGTGAAAGAAAGAGAATGGTGAAAGAGGCCGCAAGACAGCACTCTGAAGGAGTTACAAGCTTCAGCAGGTGAGATGGGGAGACTGAGCATACAGCAACTGTTACCCAGGTTCATCACCGGTCAAAGCTTAATGAGAGGTAAAGATTGACACTGTTGAAAACATATTAAATCTGAACTAGTCTAAATAAGCTAGACTAGGGCTATTCAATTAATTGCTCATGGGGCCACAATTACTGAAAGCCAAGAGCTCAGGAGCTGGACATCCAGCAGTTATTGTCATTAAGTAAGTTTGTTTTAAATTTTAAAATCTAGTTTTATTTAAAAATGAACCCACTGGTGGGCAGAACTGAGCTCTGATTTGGCCCCTAGACCGCCTGTTGAATAGCTCTAATATAGACCAACTAGTCATGATTTAATGTTTGTTTTTTGCTACTTGTTTGTGGTGGAAGGTAGTAAATGGGCCAAATTTGTAGTCTTCTGTTTATTTTCCAACTGAGGTATATTATCCTTCTCATTATGATTGTGCATAAAACATTGTATTAAAAACATATAGCACTTTCCTATAGCACCACCGCTACAGTACATCTGGGGATTTAGGCATTCAGTAACTTATCCAAAAACACTCATATTTTTGGACTGAAGGACCGAACATTTAAATTCTCAATATACAAATGCACTTTGACTTATACATTGGGCTATAGGGGTGCACCGATTGCAGTTTTCTGGCCGATCACCGCTCTCTAAAATGTCTGATCTGCCGATACCGATTTTGTTTTATCAGCGACGATGTCAAGTGTTATAAGGTCACAATGCACCTTCAATTTTCCAATATTATTTAGTTGAAAAACACACCCTTGAACAATATCCTAGAAACAATACAAACTTGTTTTCACTGGCCATAATGTAGTGCTCTGAAATATAAATGAAGTTCAGACAATTGTTGTTAAAACAAACAAACAAAACAAAAAATCAGTAAAATCGGTTTCTCATGCAAGTATCGGCCGATTTCCCAAAATTAAGGAAATTGGGGCCGATAAAGGTGCACCCCTACTGGGCTACAATCATTATTACCTGTGTGTCCGCAGTCATTTATCTGCTCTGTTAGCAAAATATCTCATGTACCAGTGGATGCATTTCAATGAAACTCTCAAAGTGATCACTGGACTTGTATCTAGAATCGACATTTGTAGTCCACCCAGTTCTAGATGGTTACTACAGATGAGCCAACACAAAAAATGGCTACCTCAGTCAGTTTGACAGATACTGAGCTAAAGCTTGATGTGGCTGTGGCTGAGAGTCACAACAAGCTTGTTTTTCTTTCACCACAAGTTAATTTCATCACGCAGTACCAGGCGGGTCACATCTAAAGCCGCTGTCGTTAAAGAACTATCTTCTGCGTGAAGAACAATAAATTCTGGAGAGATGGTATGAACTGAAATGTACAAACTGATCTTAATGACATCAAGTGTTTGTTGTGAAAGACTTTCGGCTACTACCACACCAAGTTCTATAAAACTGACTGAATTATATTCTGGTGCATGCTCAATAATCCAGGTAGAAATATCAAACAAAGTTAAGTCAGGTCCTCTCCATCCAGAGGACCTGACTTAACTTTGTTTGATGACTGAATTATAGTTATTTTTCAGTTGGTTGTGGCAGCCATCTTGAATTGGGTTACCTCCAAAAGTTTAACAGTACTACGCAGTGGTGATTTTAGCCTCTTGAGCACCCCTAAATTTTAACTCCGCACCCCTGAAAATAAAGAAATCATCTCTTGTAAGGAAACTCAGTTCTCAAGCCTTCATCTACATATTGAATAAATTTGAAATAAATATGGAACAATTGATTATACTCTTAAATGGGCCAGTGAAATTTTTTTCTTTTTTGTACGAGTCGGATTCTCTACACCACCTGTTAATCAATCCAGTACGCTCGTCAGCAAATGATCAATTGGCCACCTCAATTTGTCCTGTAGTGAAACGCCCCTTACCTGCAGGAGGTGTGGGGGGGTGGCGGTGTGTGAGAGAAGCGGAGCATGTTTTATTCACACAGGGAGAGCTGTTGGTCAGGCTACTTCTTGTTGCGCCATTTATTCTAAAATAGTTATTGGATCAAGTGTTTACGTATGAAGGTAAACGTAGATGTTAGAACAACCCGTTAAAATACACCAGAATGCAGGAAATGGCATCTACCGTAATTTTCGGACTATAAGCCGCTACTTTTTTTTACACGCTTTGAACACCGCGACTTACACAATGCTGCGGCTAATTTATGTTTTTTTTTTATTTTTTTTTTTTTATTATTTTTGATGGGCTATCAAGCTTCATGCCACCAAAACATTTAGCTTCGTCACACCCAGGCGATCACATAGCTGCCCAATACGCATCTCTCTTGGGGGGTAGCGATCAATGACTTCCTGGTAGACTACTGTATTTTTTTTTTTAATTAGCCGTGTTACAGGTACTGTTCAGAAGAAAAAACATTTAATGTATTTGTGCGTGTTACCGGTACGTATTTAATTAAAAGTTAAGAAATAAATCTTTCTATGTAAATATCTCATGTTACAACGTGAACGCCCGCGGCTTATAGACAAGTGCGGCCTATTGATGTAAAATTTAAATTTTCTTTTTAAATTTAGCGGGTGTGGCTTATATTCAGGTGTGCTCAATAATCCAGAAATTACAGTACCTACCCCTCTCCCCACATTAAATATGCTTCTGACACCAGTGGCCACTGCGATATTCAAGCCAAAAGCCATTGTCAGCATAGTTGTCAAGTCTGCTTATTATAAGCAACTTTGGGCTTGTTTTTTTTCTAAAGTCGCTTGTAAATCTTGTGAGTCGCAGGTTGTGTTTTATGGGGTTTGTTTTGAATGTGAAGTTGCTTATTTGAGCTTGATTTTCTTTCCGAGTGAAACTAGTTGATTATCTCTCAGCTTCGCACAATAAAGCAAAAGATGAGTGGTAGTAGGTAGTTTGTCTCTTCCACGGCACGCCCCCGTTTCCTGTTTATCGCTCCGCCCAAGTTGGCGAGGCGACAGGTGCACACATAGACATACACAAATGTGTCTGTGGGCGGCGCACCCTAAACACTCATATTGTGGCCAACCACTAAGGGGCTCCACTCACGCGTAGACGTCAGTATGTTTTGTTTTTAAAAATATGTAGAAAAAATTACGTATGCAAAATGTTTTTTTTAATCAGAGCTTAAAAGTATGTTATTCAAAGTGTTTATCATAATTTTGCTGTTATGTGTAATACCATAATAAATGTACGTTTATACTGTTTAAAAACGGCCTGTTTTACACAATGTGGTGGGTTGCCAGTTGGGCTTGTTTTCATAGAGCTGGTTGCTTGTTCTATCGCGAGATCTGACAACACTGGGGGCTAAGCACCCCTAAAGGGCAGATTCTAGAATCGCCCCTGGAAGTACATTCCACGATTATTGTTTTGAAAGTTTATTTCATTTCATGCAGTCATTACTGAGATATTTTGCTTACAAACAGCATTGACTCCAAATATTTCTATATCTATATAGGCCTATAAACCCAGAAATATAAATGTATCCCTCTATCATCACGAGCTGTCCGGACACTCCCGAACACTCCCGAAGACGAACCTCTCTCGTTCTCTTCCCTCCCTCCCTTCCTCCTCTCTCCTCCTCCTCCTCTTCACGCCTAATGTTACCGTACCTCTAACCCTCCTCCTCCCGTATCAGAGGAGTAGAAACAACAAGCCGCCATTTTGTTTGGCGGACAGAGCGTCAGGAGCAGGAGATAACCGATAGAAGGAGCGACTCCTGCAGCCGACGGAAGCCGCTCCGGGAGCCGCGCGGGGACCGCCAGAGGAACCGAACCCTGTCCGCGTTGTCCAGAGAGAGGAGGCATCACGAAGGAGACGAGACGTCAACCGGAGGGGAGAGCCAATTCTCAGTGCCATATCTATGTATTAATATATATAAATATATGTATGCATGAGGAGGAAATACTCCGAGGAAGGGGGTGTTTTTTTTGCGGAGCGGCGACGGGAGGAGAGGCGGAAGAAGGGAGCTACGAGACATCACAACCCTGCGGAGAAAAAGAGGAAAAAAGATGATAAGTCAGTATGTGTCCGTGGTGGAGGAAGGATCGAGCCCGCAGAGACAATTATATAAATAAATTGCTGCCGGGCAGGAGGGAGAGGTGGAAAGAAAGAGGGGTTTAAACACGAAGGGGGGCAGTTCACCATCACAAAGAGTCACTGCGAGGATTTTTGTGAGCCCAAAATATTTTTAGAGGGGGTTGTTGAGATTATTGTGCCGATTTAAAGCCATCGTTTCTTAAAAGAATTGCCCCTTTCGGGTCATTTTGCGTTTCCATTCGCGCCTCTGTCCGAAGCGCTCATCTTGGTTGTGGTTTCTTCATGCATCCTATAAGCTGCAAAAAAAAAAAAAAAGTGACAAAATGTATTCTAATCGTTTGAGATTGTTTATTTAAAGCCGACAAGACGCAGGAGGACACTGCAAGAGCACAAGATAAGTGGTCTATAAAATACAATTTAATTGGATCAATCAGGGCACCCCGTTGATTGGCAGTTAGACTATAGGAAACACCGAAAAAGTGCAGGAAAACCACACAGGAGCAGTGGTTTATACTTAAAGAAAGAGGGGTTGCATCCACCACGTTTGTTTCTGACCCCAGTGCCTTTTGCATGGTGGAAAAAAAAAAAACCTGAAGTGCACAATTCTACCAGCTGCAGAGGAGAAGTCCTGCATGGAAACATCTACACATGCAAGGCGCAGAGTGTCTCCTGCACAACTTCTGGCATCGTTTTGAAGCTTTAAAAACCACTGCCTTCTGCTGTTGGACGGGGAAGGTGAGGATCTAACTGTTGCACGAGGCGGAAGAGCTGAAGTTGCAATAAAAACTGGACATTTTCGTGCCATCGCAACAAATTCCGCCCCCCCGGAGGACTATGGCAGGCAGAGCCGAGCGCAGACCGGCGGACGGATCTTCTCCGGACGGGCTTTCTGTCGCAGAGGCTGCTCCATGAGGTTGTCAGTGGGCTCTTCAGCGACTCCACCTTCCCACCTCCCGTTCAAATCTGTGAAGAAACCAAATCTCCGACAGGGGAGGAGGGGGGCACTCGTATCTGCAGAGAGAGAGGTGCAAACCGAGGGGAGCCGAAGAGTTTAACGCCGCCGTCCTCTCCCCTACCGTGCCCCCGAGCGGTGGGGGAACGAGCAAGAAGCGTTTCCTGAAAGGGAGTAGGAGGCGGAAATAAAGGGAAACACGGTGAAAATTGTCAGAAAAATATGGCCGATAATGTCCTGGAGTCCGGCCCGCCTTCAGCCAAGAGGCCCAAGCTGTCCTCTCCAGCTCTCTCATTGTCTGCCAGTGATGGAAACGGTAAATATGATGCATGCATCGCTCGAACACGAAGCCGCGTCGGCGGCTTTTAGCCTAAACTGCTCACTGTTTGAAGTTGGACGTAAAAGTTGCTTTGTAGCTTAACTCGTATAAACGATGCTTTAAAGCATGGGAGCGTGGGTAAAACGGTGCTTAACTAGAAGGCGCGATGTGTTTTGATGGGGACGGGGATGTGGTTTTAAGGCCAGAGCAACTTTTCCTGCAGTTTGTTTTGATGCGTTAGCCTGAACTAAAACCATCCACCTCCAAACAATGGACGAGTCGAGACACTTCAGTTGGCTTCAACTTGTTTCGCTGCGTTAAAAGTTGTTTACGTGAAAGTCTGGGAATTCGTATGGTAGACACGGGGGATGTTTGTTGGTATTTGGAAAACAAAGTGGCAAAGAATCGCCCACCAAACGAGCTTTAAGCGAAAGTTGCTGTTACCGTGCGAGCTAGCTAACTAGCTAGAAAGACACCCCCACCGGTGTTGTGGCGAAAAATGCACCCCGGTCTTAGGAAGTCTGAAGGCAGGTCACAAGTAAAGCGAGTGAAAGTAAAAAGTGACGAACAAGAACTCGTCAGTTGATTTTTGCGTTTAATAACCATATTTTTATGTCTTTTTGTCATAATAGTCTGCTTGTATGTGCGCACGCTATGGAATTTCTTAAAGTTACTGCAAACTTAAAAAGGTATTTTGGGGTAAAGAATGTACATTTCGTGTCAGTAGGCCATTTTTTTTCCTGATCAGAAATAGCGGAGGGCGCACATCCTGGTTGCCTAACTCTTCAGTAAATCACTAATCATGCTGGGCATGGAGAATCATGGGGCAGTTTATCACTTCTAATTTTTAATCTCGTTTTTCAAGTTTAAAAACAAGCGCTATGAGATGAGTTTCCCGTGATTGTGCTTTTCGTGGCGGGGGTGCTTTTTTTCGATACAACACCGGAGCGGCTCAGCTGAGCTCCGTAAAGAAAATAGTGTTCAGTTTAAGTTTTTTTATTTTTATTTATTTAGTCTCAGCAACGTTTAAAGTTGGTATTAACTCTACGCAGCTGAAAAAAAATTGTTCAGGCAAAACTGTAGCGTTCCTAACGCGGGGGCCACTCTTGTTTTCAGTCAAAGCTAGCTATTGTTCAACACTTCATTAAGTTGGGCGAAGCGCTGTCGTCCTGCCGAAGTTTTAAAAAATGCGTCGATGAAAACAGTTTTATGTTTAAACAAAGCACCGCACTTCTTCAAGTGCCTACTAATAAATGTAACTCTTTTAAATGCTTTTTTCTCGACTTGAACTAGCGGTATTAGCTAAAGCTTGTTCTGTATTTGTCGTCCATTGTCTTGACTGCTAACAGCACGGCGGTGACACTCGAGCTGCACTTTTTGCTCCTTACTTTTTAACAGTAAAAACATGTCCAAAACAGACTATTTGAACGTCTTCTTCGTTTTATTTAAAACACCAAGGCACAAATTCTGAACAAGAAGCGTTTAAATACCCCAGTTAGTGCCTAAATTTTTTTTTCTGGGTTTCTCAAAATAAAGAGTTTTATGAAGGCAATAGTTAAAAGGTGACAAGTTATTTTCACAAATCAAAGCACTCACTTGACACAGTTTCTACTAAATGAGAGGTTTTGTAATAATAATAATAATAAAAATGTATTTTCCAAACACTTTTCCTTCCACTTGCCCATCATCTGACTTTTTCTGTAATTACTGCTGATTAAGCCTCTTGATTACGTAGCCGTCCTTTAAATTCACACACCTACCTGGATACTGTAGTGTTTACCTTTTGCGGCTTCTCACCTTGTCCGCGCTGCATCAGCTCTTCATGTGTGGAGCCCCACCAAACCACAAACTGATGCCCAAGAGAGAAGTCCAGGTTGTGAGAGGCACTTAAAGCTGCGTTGGTTTTCAGGCTATAAGCATAGAGGACGGATTAAACATGTATAGGTAAAAGAGCTTCCTTCTGTCCTCATTGGTAAGATTTGTTTCTTTTTTCTGTCTAGATTTTGGTACACTCTTTGACCTGGAGCAAGACCTCCCGGATGAGCTCATTAGTTCTTCGGACCCGGGGCTGTCCAACGGAGGGGATGCCAGCCAGTTCCATGCTAGTCTTGGAGGGCTCGGAGGTGGGATTGGCACAAGCGGTCAGGATGCAGCTGCAAAACACAAACAGCTGTCCGAGCTCTTGCGTGCAGGAGCGCCGGCACAGCCGGGGGGCCCTGCTTCGAACAGCGCACCATCTGGGGCTTCCATGGGACTCATGGGTGGCATTAGTGGACCACAAGGCATGCACCCTCAGGGCCAACAGCAACCTGGATTAATGCCTCAAGTTGGAATGATTGGAGGTGGGACGGCGCTCAGTCGGACAGCAGCCATGATGGGTGCTCAAAAAGGCCCTACTGGACAGCAGCAGCAGCAAGGGCTGATGGGGGTGCAGGTTATGAACGGCTCCCCTAGAATGGTTTACTCTGGCAATGCTGGAATGGGAAACAGTAGCAATATTTTGGCAGAGACCTTGCAGCAGCAACAAGGTGGCCCGCCAATGGGAGCCGGGGGTCAAGTGGGGATGAGACCACAGCAGCCTGGCGGGCTAAACCAGGTAGGTAGCAACACAACCAAACTACACTAAAACTGTGGCCTGACACTGACAATACAGCTGTTTTTCATAAAATGGACTGAACAGCTAAAGTTTTATTCCACTATTTACATTAATTGCATGTTTTTTGTTTCTGTATTCAACAACATTATCATCAATATTCTCATTAAAAAACATTTTTACAATAAACAGGATTTAAAATATGTCATGTAAAAATTTAGAGGGTTAGTTTTTTGACGTAGGGTACTTTGGTAAAATGTTAAACAATATCTTACCTGGTGTACATGGCTCTTTAAATGGCTTTAGTTTGTCAAAATGGAGTTCAATTCTGATCAAATCAATGAGCTTAGAGCTAGTTCACACTGAACCAAGACTAAAAGAGGCGGCTGCCATCCTAAAACATCACGGATATCAGAAACATTTTAGTGGTTCAGGTAATCACAATCTTATAAATCTCATCAGCACAGACTTTGCATAGGTACTCTTTGGGTTGGGGATAAATTATGCTTTTAGATGCCTTAGAGATATGGAAGCTTCTGAATCTATTTTCTGAAGTCTAGAATAAATTTAGTTAAAGTTGACCTGTGCTGCCACTTTACAAGATTCAGCAGAGTAGTTGCTGCTCAGTGCTGTTTGTCCTAGTAGGGTTACCGTAGCTTCCTAAAGTTAATAAAGTAAACATGTTGCACTAAAGTCAAATTTATTTATAAAGTACATTTAAAACAGCAGCAGTTACAAAGTGCTTAACAATAAGGTTAAGGCAGTAATAAAAAGTCAAGATGTAATTAAAAGTATCAAAAATAAAAACACAAAAACATTGAAATACTAAATCAAATCACACTGTGTTATACGTCAGTGAAAACAGATGTGTTTTTAGGAGAGATTTGAAAGCAGGAAGTAAAGTGGCCTGTCTAATGCTGAAGGGCAGGTTGTTCCAAAGTTTAGGGCCAATGACTGAAAAAGTCTGATCTCCTCTGAGCTTCATCCTGGTTTTTGGTACAACCAAAAGCAGCTGGTCAGATGATCTCAGCGCCCGAGAAGGAACATATGTTTGAAATAGGTCAGAGAGGTATTTATGCACTTAAATGTCAACAGGAGAATTTTAAAATCAATTCTGACATGCACAGGGAGCCAGTGAAGGGAGGACAAAACTGGTGAAATATGCTCAAATATAGGGCTGGGCCATATTGTGTCATTGACGATATCGGTTAAAAAAAGCTTGCCCGGGCAAATAAATGATATCATGATATGCTAATTTCATGATGCAATATGTCAAGCGCCCCACCTCGTTAACAGAACCGAGCACGCCGAACAACCAAACTGAACTGCACACCCCCCCACGCCTTGTCGTTACTATCGTAACACTAATTAGTTGCGCGCAATACTATACCCTACCATTTTATTTATAGAGCACTTAAAACAGCGACAAGGCCAACCAAAGTGCTGTAAAGACAGAACAACAGGTAACACACAAAGCAAAATACAAAATGAGGTAAATTAGAAATATAGACATAAAAACACTGCAAATTATAAATATAACGACAAACCAGTGTGGAGCATACAGGTTCAAAACACAGATCATCTGGTGTTGAAAGCTACTGAATAGTAGTGGGTTTTTAAACGGGATTTGAAAACCAAGAGGGAGGGGGCCTGTCTGACAAGCAGAGGCAACTTGTTCCAAAGTCTTGGTCCTGCTACAGAGATGGCCCTGTCACCTCTGCGCTTAAGACGAGTTCCTGGAACTGTGAGGAGCATCTGGTCCGCTGACCTCAGGGAACGTGGTGGGACATACGGCTGTAGCAGATCAGAGAGATGGAGGGGGGGACTGTTCAGCAATTTGTAGACATACAGGAGTATTTTGAACTGGATTTGAAGGTGATCCGGTAACCAGTGCAGTGAGGCCAAAACTGGTGTAATGTGCTCTCTTTTGCCTGTACTGGTTAAAAATTGGGCTGCTGCATTCTGGACCAGTTGTAGTCGTGCAATGGAGGTCTGACTGATACCAAACAGGAGTGAACTGCAGTAATCAAGCCTAGATGTAATGAATGCATGTATTACTGTCTCCAGGTTATTTTTGGACAATATGGGCTTCAGCTTAGAAAATCACCTCAGTTGGAAAAAACATGATTTAACAATCATGTTTACATGATTGTTAAGTTTCAGGGAAGGGTCCATTATCACTCCCAGATTAGTGACTCTTTGTTTTTCTGACAGGGTTAGAGCGGAAAGGTCGATGCAGTGGTTTGTGATCGTGTCATTGGGAGGGAACAACGTGACTTCAGACTTCTTTTCATTGAAACTTAAGAAGTTAAAAGCCATCCAGTCCCTAATGTCAGCCAGGCAGTCGAGCAGAGGTTGAATAGAGCATGTACCATTGTGTCTTAGGGAGAAGTAAATTTGACAGTCATCGGCGTAGAAGTGAAAGGGTAAGTTGTGTTTCCGGAAAATAGCACCAAGGGGCAGCAGGTATAAAGAGAATAGGAGGGGACCCAGGATGGACCCCTGTGGAACCCCCCATTTAAGCTCTGCTGCTGCAGAACTAAAATCCTTGATGGAGACACAAAAGGATTTGTCAGCGAGGTAGGATCTGAACCAATTGAGGGCTGACCCTGTGATGCCCACCCACTGCTCCAACCTAGCAATGAGGATCTCATGGTCGATGGTGTCAAAAGCGGTTGTGAGGTCCAATAGGAAAAGCAGCACAGAATCACCAGTATCTGTGGATAAGAAAATGTCATTTAAAAACCTTCAGTAAAGCATCCTGATACATGCTCAATTTTACTATTGAGGCCTTGAAGGCCAAAGAAGAGCACATTAAACAGAAACTAACAACGTGTCTAGATCAGACCACACTTCAGCAAGTGTTGGACTGTACAGATCAGGCACGCTTAGCACAGCATGTCAAGTCCAAGACTC